ATGCTGAACCATCATGAATCACACTGAAACCAACATAAATCATCAAAATGTTTTGATGGGACCATCAAGAATTTTGACTTGGAAACCTATGACACCCACGCTAACCCCGTGACAAGTTGTACTAAACTATCGAGAAGTAATTATGCATTACAGATATCCAGAAGTCACGTGGTTGCTGTCTATATCAGTGATTCATGCTGTCAAAGCAAGTTATCCCCAAAGTCCTCAGTGTATATATAGCTGAAGTTTGGTCGTGAGCTTCGGTTTTTCTTATATAATGAGTAGTCCTAAATGTCAGGGTCCCGCAGCGGACTGATAGCGAGGACACGGGTCCTAGTCGAACACTGGTGTCAAACATCACTGACTGCGGTCAGTAAGTGGGTGGGTGACCACTTTGATCAGTCTGCGCAAGGAGCGAAAGTGAGTGGTATCGGTCCTCGTTTAACTGTTCCACCGTAAAGTGCTTGACTTCACTCGTAGTTCATCGAGGCTACCAAAGCATGAGAGCCATATCCTCAGCAGAGGATCGAAATTGCGATCTTCGGATCATCCATAGGGATACTTCCCAGACCATCGCCAATAGCCCATTGTGAAGTTCTAGTACCTATCTACCATCTCCTTTATACAGAGGGACCACACCTAACCATGGAGTTTACATTATGGCTATGGAAGCTAGACTTCTTCCCCTATGTATATTCTAGTGCGACTCATGAATGATTCTGTCTGACAATGGTTTTTCATCTCCAGCCATCCATGATTTATGAAGACTAGTTTGGTTCTGAATTTTCACTGATTTCGGGAATAAACTATTGATTTAGCCATTACGCCTCTTTAATTAAGAAAATATATTAAAATTTAAAAGAAAAAAAAAGATCTTTTTTAAAAAACGAAAGGATCTTTTTACTGCAATATTCCAAAATCGTATTTTTATTTTAACCATGATCAAAATTAAAACAAAATTTTTTAATAAAGGCGCAGATAGGAATTTTATTTCCGTCTTAATATATCTTTAATATCAGATTCTTTGGAGGAAATTCCGCGTTATCTGCTTGAATGAGTCATCTATTAGAAAACATATTTTATTTTCCTAACTCTGTTTTTTAAAAAACAAGCAAAATAATTCAGTGTCTCATATAAACCATTCTATTTCAAGCGTTTATACACTCAAAACTATGATCAAAGGAATATATATATATATATATATGTTTATATAAAATTACCAGTCTATCACTCTTACAACAACATTTTTTATGAATAAATTTTTTTTTGCTGACGAATAAAGCAATATTATTCTAGAAAGATACTAGATATGGAGAACACTTTTATACATTTCTGGTATCAATATAAACAAGTAATATAAAAAAAATTTAAAAATCTATACCTAATTAGGTCAACAAATTTTTTTTTTCATTTCAGTTAATTTTTATTAAATAATTTAAATTTTTTCTCTCATTTAAAATTGAAATTAATTAATTGAATTTCAAGAATGAATTAATATTTGGAAAAAACTGTATTAACATCATCCAAAACAAGTTTAAAAGGCAATGTATTTAAAATGTATTGTATGCAAACTAACCAGCATTTGAGTTACATGGAGAGGAAAACCACGAAGACCTTCCAAGGCTAGCCTAACGGCAAGGGTGCTCTAACTCATGACCCGACTACCACTAAGGATATTTTACGTCAGCACTGTGTGCAAGCCGGATGTGGATTTATATCGACCCACCGTAGCTGGAATTCGAACCAGGTTCGCCACATTGGAAGGCGAACGCTCTATCTCCTCGGCCACCACAGCTAAAAAAAATGTTGCATTGGAAATGAAGAGTTAATCTAAATAAATTTAGCATAATCAATTTTTAGGAAGGGACGAAATATTTCACTTTAAGACGACGCCATACCGCGGGAGGAACTTTTCGTCACAGATTCTTTTCCACCTCTATAAGTAATTTTTAAAATTTGAATGAGTTCAGACAAATCTAGAGTAAGCCGGATGTGAAATTTGCCTCTATCCTTCGTAGCTGGAATTTGAATCCGGTTCGCCACATTGGAAGGCGAGTGCTCTATTCCCTGAGCCACCAGGCTCCACTTTACTATTAAAATTAACATTCACTGTTATAAATAATGTCAAAAATTATTTTATTTTCGCTAAAATTTTTTTTGCTTAAGGAAACTTGCTATTTGCCTTTCAGAATGCATGGCTGAAAATCATCTCTTTGGTTGTAGTGTAGCTGTCGCCTGAACATTTAAAAATTGCGTTCCTACTATGGCTGTTGAAAACTACAAAAAAATGGGACTAGGTACTACCTTGGCCAAGGTTGTGTACAGAACTTAAATTCTTCAATCTGTCGACAAAATCAGTCGGTATTTTAAATCAAAATAATTGTTCCAAATAAAAAAGGTAAACATGTCTATTATTTTTTTTATTTATACTTTAACTTTAAATAGGGTGAGTTTCAAAATCTGTTTGAAACGCGTATTAGTGCTCAAAATGTGTGTTTACGAAAAACGGGGAAAATACGCTGTGTGAAGTGTTGTTATCGAAAATGTCAACCTTCATCTATGAAAAGGTACCTTAACATAGAATGGAGTTAACATGTCTTATATGAATTGGAATTGTATTCTGGTGGAGGAGTACTGTAGTGGTAGATACCACTACAGTACTACCTTATAGCTGTGTTGAATTCAATGACGGATTCCATTTGTGGATTCTTTGCTGTTTTGTGAGAGGCGAGAGAGCTGTATTAAGATCACCGTACTCTTGCTGATTGTGAGAGCTGTATTAAGTTCACAGTCCGTACTTTTGGTCACATACAAAATTTGGATCCCTTAATGTTAATTTTGCTTCTTATATATTTCGCGAGATCTCGATAACTTTTCGAAGCGAATTAAAGAAATGTTTTGCCTACAATTATACTGTTTGTTCATATAAAGATAATTTCATGAAAAATATAACTTTTAATAAATATTAATTATTTTTTATTATTTTATTTGTAATAATAGTCGCCAAGTTTTAAATGGCAAGATATATAGTTTTTTACATCATTTTAAAGAATGTAATTGCTCGTGGCAAAATACAAATTTTGAGAGGAATCGGTCGATTTGCTCCTGAGAAATTGAGTTTTAAAAATACGAGTTCTTTAAAATTTGATTTCTCAGGAACTATTTGACTGACTTCGTTAAAATTTTGTATCTGAATTTAAATTCTGATGTTAAAAAATGTGTAACTTACTGCTCAAAATTCTTCTGATTAAAAAATAATTAATTATTTGATAAAAGCTTTTTTTATAGAATATTTTGGTAAACGACTTTTATAATTTTGCGCAAAAATATTTTTGTTCGTTTAAAAAGTTCTTGAGATATAACAAAATTAGCAAAAAATAAAATAAACATTAAGGGGATCAAAATTTGAACCTTCCGTCCGACCTAACTACGATCATATTTCCTAGATTGCTGCGACCCCCTGTATATTGAGGGTCAATTTGTCGAAAAAAAAATTATTTTTATTAACATGTTTAAAAAGTATGTTTTTGTGTCTGATTTCGCAACTCAAAAAATATCGTTAGCAATAATTATTTAGCATATTTGAAGTCACCCCTTCAAACCATTAAGAATGAATCCTAGAACGTGAAGATCCGGTAGTTAGATCAAAAGTTATTCAGGGTGATGTGTTTTTTTATTTTGTGCTCTTTACTTCAGTAGTATATGTCTTTTTGATTAAATTCGTGTAAGAATTTTCTTCTCAGTTTTGTCACTTTCGCAAATTCATGTAAATATAATTTTTTTTTACATATGTCATTGCGAAATTTAAAACTCATTAAAATTTTAAGACTCATTAAAAATTTAAAACTCATTGAAATTTTAAAACTTTTTAAAAATTTAAAACTCATTTAAAAAATTTATTTTGAGCACTGCTTATTTCGGAAAATATAGCTAAGAATTATATTTTATGTGCAGTAAATTCCCGTAAAGGTGTATGCACTTTTGCAAATTTTGACTATAATCAAATAGTTTCATTTGTTTTACTTTACATCTACTACTTTGTCAATTTTTTTTCCGCTTGCCTTGACTTTTTTTTTATATCCATCGTTGAACAGCCGACCCGATTTTGGATTTACGACTTCTAATGTTCAATTCCGTAGCCTTGTCATTTTGAACCCAATCCAGAGGACAGGGAAGCTCCTGAATCAGTACCCTCAGAGGTATTGATTTGTTATGGGAACATGGAGGACTTTGCGACTGGGCAGAGTTAACGTGTATCAGTCACCGTTTACTACACGGGGAGTCTTCGGTCAGTCAGGGATCGGACCCACGAACTCTTGGACGTGGGCCTAGTGCCCTCTCAACCAGGTTATCCCGGCCCTGCACTGACTTTCAAATTTTTTTTTGACGAAAACCGATTTGGGAACAGGGTTCATTTACTTCTTTAAATTTTAGCAATAACCGATGCACTATATTTATGAGCTTAATAATTTCTTGCAGATTATTTTTAAAAAAATCTCTCTCTCTCTCTCTTTTTAGCCATTTAAATAGATGTATCTTGAGTCTTTAGATTTTTAGTACCATAAGTTCAATGGACTCTATAACTGTCATAAGTTCTTACTCTTTAATGAGATTGATATAGCAAACATAGCATAAATAGCTGATCATTTAACCACCTCAGACACTTCAGGATTTGCCTTTATAAGTGGCTCACAGCTGCGCGTGATAAAATTAATAAGCACATCTCCCATCGAGAAAACAAGCTATTCCCTCTAGAAAAGTAATTTTCTTTTGAAAACGTTCTGAGATCGATTCTTGTCGAGTTCCAATCTTGAATCTCACAATTATGATGTATTCTAATTGTTAAAGCAAATTCGTCACCAAGCGAGAGGGCACCGCCTCCTCTTCGATATCTTAGAGAAAGGAAAAACAGTTCCTTTTCCCATATGAAACATTCCAGGCTACGGGGTTAAAGTAAAATCGACGGGGGCACTCTTCTTGAAGTATACGATAGATGGCGTCCCTCGCAATCTAGGTCAATAAAGTTATCTCCGTATTTAAAGTTCTACTTCTGGTTTTGATCTTCCTTAGAGATGATCTCTACTTACCTGTCAGTGCGTTTTTGTTTTTTCTGTGTGAAACCCTAGATTGGAAATAATTTGCATTTGAAGGTAAGTGTCATTTAATTGTTCAATGTTGTAGAAATACCCATTCTTGCATTACAAAAAAATATTGTTTAAACAAGTTTTTTTTTTATTAATTGTTTAATGAATCGATGTTTAAAGTCGTCGCTTTTTTTAAAAAAAGTGTTGTTTAATTAGTCATGGAAATATTATTTACATGCTTAAAAGTGTCTTCTTTCTATTTCTCTCCTTTTTTTCTTATTCTTTCTGTTTTTTAAAAAAAAAAACAATTTCTTCATATTTGGCATATACGCTTAAAATACGAAATACAAATCGATTTTTTCAATAAATTGGGGAAGGGTGAAATAAAAATAAACATTTTTAAATTTCAAATGTGTTATTAATTTATTTCGTTTAAATTAAATTATTTTAAAATAATTTAATATAAAATATTTTTTTTGAAATGTGCTGAAGTGTTGTGGGTAAGAAACACGATAACAAACCAAAAAAAAAAAAAAAAAAAAAAATATTAATGTAATTTTTTTAAGTCAACATAATATCTATTTAGATATATATCTATGAGCTTTAATTAGAACCACGAAAACAGTGAGATTCAATGATTTTTAAATTTTTCATTTCCAGATTAGGATCACATTTTTTAACGAAAGTTATTTAATTAAACAAATAAAAAATAAGGTTTTTCATCATGAAGTAAACTATTGTCGATTCAAATGCCTACATAAAAGCATTTTGGATGAAAATTTTTGTTTTACATACGAATTTTTTTTTTGTTAAATATTGCGGGAGTTATGAAATGAAACTTTCAAACCAAAGGAAAACATTTTTTTTTCTTCTAAATGCAGTGTCTTTTTTCAAAATTTATAAAAACTGCTAAAAATATTGGTTAGAAACCTTTTTAAATTTTAAAGAAACTCTAATCAAATTTTTTTTCAAAAGTTTTTTTTTCCAATGCCCACCTGTGTTAACATCCGCCAATTCAGGCATTTACAGGACGATTTTGTTGGCCTCTTTTTCAGAGGCATCCTATTAGGTGGGCCAACGTCACTCCCACAGTGTGGACTAATGGTACAGAGAAGGAAAGAACATCCATGCCTTTGTCCGGGATTGGAGCCCAGAACCTTTCTAATGCAAGGACAGTTCCCTGCCCCCTACACAGGCCGGTCGGCAATTTTTTTCAAAAGTTACCACTTGCAATTCAAAACAAAACAATGGAAACAGAAAATTAATGTTTTTTGCTCATGTGCAGTATGAAAGGATGACTTAAAATGCTCATATCTTTCGCAATTCTCAACAATTTCGTTTTTCAAATTTTAAAATGATGTTTTTGTTATTAATTAAAAGTACTCCAAAAATTTTGTTTAATTTTATTGAATATAAAAAAAAAATAATTTAAGAATTGGTGAATAGTTGAGAGCAAGATTAAATTGGTTTTGTCTTCTTTTTCTATTTTTGTAGCACTAACAGCTAATGCAAAAGAAATAATTAAGGATGACTGCTCCTCTTTGTATAAAATGGATGCCTATATTATAAATTAAAATTCTTTACTTAATACGTTGAAAAAAATGTTTATAAATTTTTCTAACTTTGTATTCGATCTGGTGCGACCTAAGTATCCGTTGACGTTCAAATAAGTAATATTAAAAAAAAAAAAAAAATAGTGCGTGGAGTCCTTCTGCGCGGAAGAAGTTAAACTTCGTAACCTGCAACGTTAATTGTAGAAGAATCAGCAGTCGTAGAAGGATCACTAGTTCTATTCAACGACTCTTTTTCCTGCTCCGCTCGCTTCCGTGCTCTGTAATCACGGTAATATTGTGCATTTTTCCCTCGTGAACCTCTTGAACCAGAGGAAGTGCTTCTGGTTGCCTCATCGTCTCGCCGTGGAAAATGTATTTGTATTAATAATGTATGTGAATGCGTCATGATGTAATTTCAAAAGAGAAAACCTAACAATCAATTGATATTCACAAGAGATTGTTTTCACTCATTTTTTACAATTTTTATCCACTAAATTTGAAAATAAAAAATTGCTATCCTGTTAAATTATATGTGTATCAAATCAAACTACAAAAATATTTATAGAAAAACAATACTTTTATGCTAGTGAGAACCAAAACAATATGGAAATGAATGAGGGAAAACTGGATTTCCCGACCAATAAAAATGTAGCGTTAAACGTTTAACGCAACCTTGTTGGAAGTCGCATAAGAAGTATAACTTCAAAAAAAAAAAAACATAACTAAATAAATAAATAACAAAAGTCAATTCCTACTTAGGTGAACAAAGAAAAATTTTATTTTAGTTACTTTTTATTAAATAATGACATTTTTTCTCTCACATAAAACTAAAATTAATTCATTAAATGAATGAATTAAACAAATGCTTAAAACTGTAAACTAAACTTCTAAAACACTTTACAAAAATTACTAATGTGTAGTATAGTATCACAAAACCGATGACATTCTTTTGCTCGCTTCATTGGCAACGAAAAATTAAAACAAGCTGAGCTGGGTGGAAGTGCATTTATAAACAGACGCGCTGTTTTATATTTTGCCTTAATTTTACTTATTTATTTATACAGGTCACATCATTATTTAAAGCAGTAGTTACTAAATGTTATTCAGAGGAACACCGTCGCAGATTGAACAAAGTTTCGAAAGCTGATAGTTTTTTTCTTCTTTTTAATAGTTTGGAAACCTCTAATTATATTCAGAATCAATCCGTTATTTATTAAATATTTCGGTTGAATGTATTTAAATTAAAATGCCAATGAAACGTGAATCACATCGATCAGCACCATTAATTAAAGATTGTTTAAGATATAAGAATGTCATTCCTCTCATTCAATATTTTCAAATTTAAGTGGTATTTAATTGGTTAATTCGTTTACAGATCAGACAACGGTGTCCCTTTTACATATAATTATTTTTATTATTATTACACTCTAATTACAAGTAAAAATATAGTTTGATATTTTTAAATTGTAAAAAATCTGTTAAATTCTCGGAATTATATTTGTTCTAAAATATAAAATCTAAGGAAAAAAAAATACTTTGAAATTTTTTTTCTCATTTATAATCAAAAAATTTTAAGATCATTGATTTTGTAAATTAAATAAATTTGACTGATAAATTACTGTTTCTCTTAGACTGCGCTCAAATTTAAAAAAATTATTGCTTAGAAGGGAGACGTGTTTGGAATCTTTAAGGCAAAAAGGGAGATATGTGTCCGATGCTGTATTTCGTTACCAAAAACTATTAAAATACTTAATGCAATCACTTATTTTGACCTAAAATAATTCAAAATAAGAGCCCAAGGTCAAGCAAACTGAGATGGGCACAGTAGGCCTCGGCCCTCTATGGGCTGTCGCGCCACTGAGTTTAGTTCATTCAAAATAAATGAAACAAAGAATAGGTTTAACGAAAATTCTGGGTGCTAAACTCCTTCAATGCGTGATAGCAAAATGGAAGTAAATTTTACTTAATTTTAACAAAACCAACTCTGCTGTTGTTGTTGTAGTTCATTGACGTCGCACTAGAACTGCACAATGGGCCATTGGCGAAGGTCTGGGAAACATCCCTCAGGATGATCCGAAGACATGCCATCACAATTTTGATCCTCTGCAGAGGGGATGGTATCCCTGCTTCGGTAGCCTGACGACCAGGACTCAAAGTAGAGCACTTTACTCGTGGAACTGTTTAATGAGGACCCATACCGCACACCCTCGGTCCCTCCTCAGACTGACCCAAGCGGTCACCCACCCGCACACTGACCGCAGCCAGTGATGTTTGACTTCGGTGATCTGCTGGGAACCGTGTCTTAACGATCAGTCCACTGCGGGACTGACCAACTTTAAAATGAATTAAAGAAACTGTTTAACAATGCAACACACGTATTTCAGAGTTAAATGAAGACGAACGGAGTATTCATCACTCGAAATTATACTCAGACTGATTAGTAAAAATGTGTAACACTTCTTTTGTTACTACATACATTTCATGACAAAACACTCGTTTTTTACTTCCTTTTTAATTGTCATTTTATTTTATTGTTTTTAAGCGCAGAAGTTATGTTCTGAAATGATATGCATATTTTAATACCAGCGGTTCAAATCCCGGCAATGGCTGGTCCTTACGAATTCCGCATCTGGCTTGCACCGACCACAAAGCAGACGTGAAATATCCTCAGTAGTAGACGGATTATGGGTTAGAGTTCCCTTGCTGTCAGGCTAACCGTGGAAGGTTTTCGTGGTTTTCCTCTCCATGTAACGCAAATGCGGGTTAGTTCCCTCAAAAAGTCCTCCATGTAGGCACATTTCTCCCAATATTCGATCCAGGAGTTCTCTACCACTGCTGTTCAACAGCTAAGGTTACGGAGTTGAATATTAGTAGTTGTCAACCCAAAACAATTGGGTCGGCTGCTCAACGTCGGTTATAAAATAAAATTAAATAACCATGTATTTAACCCTATAGTGGTTTCTATGAACTAACATAAAAAGAGATAAAAAACAAAAACAGAATGCATACTTGGAAGGCAAGTGTTTCATTTTAATAAATATTTTTTGTTTTGTTTTCCAGGTTTCAATCATGCTGTTCTATTCAGTAGCCGTGTTCATGATCGCTACTTGTTTTGTGAAAGCCAACAACTATCCACCAGAGCCCAAAATCAAGGTAGTGCACAAGGAAGTACCAGTTTATCACAAAGTAGCCGTACCCAAACCTTATCCGGTACCCAAATATATTCCGATCCCCAAAGCGATTCACGTGCCAAATTATGTGCCTGTTCCCTATCGAGTACCGGTGGTCAAAACGATCCCGAAGATAATCAACGTGCCCAAGGCTATTCCAGTGCCTAAAATAATCGCAGTCCCCAAAGCGGTGCCCATAGGAGTACCGTTTCCAGTGCTGAAAGCTGAGGCTGTACCCATCTACAAGCCGGTGCCTGTTCCGAAACCGGTGCCTGTTCCTTATCCAGTGAAGGTACCCAAATACATACCTGTTCCAGTCCACAAAGTGATCAAAGTTCCCAAGCCGTTCCACTATCCAGTCAAAGTTCCGGTCTACAAACAGATTATTGTGAAGAAGAAGGTCGAAGTTCCAGTTCCGTAAGTGCAATTCCTATCGTTTTCATCTCTCCTTCTTTCCATTTTTATTTGTTTCAGCCTTTTGATGGACACTATTTCTTAGGAACTTTGTTTTTTATTGATCTCACGTTCTTTTTATGTTTAAAGAAAACTTAACATCCTAAACGGAAATTATAGTTATTGATTTTTATTTTTTATATTATTTTTTTCTGAGAAAGGACAGAAAAAAAAAATTTAATTTTTTTTGGGGGGGGNCAATTCCCTAGTTTATAAGGGGGGGAATTATTAAAAAAATAATCTACATTACCGAATTATTAAACGCACTATAAGATTCTAGCCGACCAGCCTGTGTAGGGGTTAGGGAACTGCCCTTGCATCAGAAAGGTTCTGGGTTCGAATCCCGGGCAAGGCATGGATGATCTTTAATTTTAAATTGTTGCATTTATTAAATTATGTATTTATTTTTAAATTATTTCATTACAATGTTAACCAATTAATACACTAACATAAACTAGTGTAAACCAGTTTTAGCCACGTAAAAGCAAACAAACTGATAATTAAGATTTTACATAGAATATTAGAGTGCGTATAGTAATTTAGCCAGAGACTGTACAGTATTGGAAGTCGATATGCTTTGACCACTCATTCTGATGCATTTCGAAATAAAGGAAAGCTAGGCGATTAATTGAAGCTGAAAAATAAAGCCGAGAATGAAACAGAAAATAAAAAGTAAATGAATATGGAAAAACAAAACTATAAAAACCGCAGTGGTCAAGAGAAGCAAATTGAGCCAAAGTGCATTTTCATGCACTAATGAGAGATAATGTGGAACTGATGTCGTTAACAAGGGGAGAGACTTTCATATGAATGAAATTAGATTCCTGGGCATCGAGAGGAGCTCACGTGACAGGGGGGGGGGAAGAATTTACACATTATCGAAATTGAATATGTGGCCAAGATCCCAACGAAAGGCGGGTTATCAATTCCATAGATGATTTATTGAATTCATGTTGAAAATTAATTAATGTTTTTTCACTAACAATTCCTTTAACACTAAACTAATCAAATGACCGTTTAAGAACTTTTGCATCGAAAATGCATCGTATCGTTTTTGCACATTTGACTCATGACTTTTTCTAACAATTATATACAGTTAATATTCTGTTATTATTATTTTTCGATGTTAAGTGTTGGTATGTTTAGTGTTTAAAAAAAATGTATTAAAAACATCAAATTTTTCATGGTTTTTGTGTCCCAGACCACTTTTTAACTATAACAGAAATAAAAATACCCAACAAGTATTAAAAAAAAAAAGAAGAAGTAAGGTTTGATTTGATTTGATTCGGCATTCAATAAGTGATGATGATGTCCCGGATGTCGCAGTCTATTAACACATCATTCTCATTTCATGAGGCATAACGGCGGAAAAATGTTAAAAAAAGAAGATTCGAATTAATGGGATGACCTTCTTTTCCTCTCATCTTCAATCAGATGATGAGACCTTTCTCTTTATCTAAATTACCTACTTTTTATTTAAATGTTTATTATCTGTGGATTTGTAAGCAATTTCTAATACATAGATTTAGTTTTAAAATAGAAGCAGGAGCTTACTCTAATCTTAATTTTATGTAAAATGCGGCTAAAAATACCGGATCACCTGATTAACTTTACATCTAATAATTGGATGTTCACATTCTAAATTGGATTTAATCTAAATAGGGAACGCGCTAAGTAATGAGTGGCAACCATATTTTTAATTACGAAATCACACAAAAACGTTCTTTCTCTGAATAACATATGTTTCTTTTTGACGGATTTTAAACCCTCAGAATATGGAGGGTGGTCGAAATAAGGTCCTAATAGGTTCCTCAGGATATCGATCGAATGTTTGAACCCTTGTTGTTGTCGTTGCACCCTCATTGGCCAGCAGTGCTAGACCAGGTCCATGACGTTAATACACCCTCAGAAAGTCCAACACCGTCAATGGATCATCTGCTAAATCCTGTTTGGTGAGCCCCAGGCACTCAAGGATGTGGTGAGGCGAAGCCTGGTCAGAAGAACAGTTGATACAAATTTCAAAGCTCTTGGATCCTTTCATTGATTTAAGGAGACTACTTCGAAAGCGGACGTTCCTGTCTATTAAAACCTTGAGACCAGGGAACCTCCAGGTCGGATACCATGGGTGCTTTGGGGGGACATTCCAAGTGGTCTTATTTTTGTGTTTTATTTTTGAGAAGATTTCCAAAAAGGTGAGGGGTGCCGACGACGCAGAGGCCTCGCAAGCACCAGCTTTAGCCAAAATGTCCGCAATGCTCATTTCCTTCAAGATCGAGACTCCAGCTCTATCTCTCACGCTTTGCCAATTGGTCAAGTGCACTTCTGCTATCAGACAGAACCCATATCTCGTTTCCACGGGGATGAAACTCAAGAGAGTCAATGCCTTCATTTGTGGCTATTAGCTCACTGTGAAATACTGAGTCAGGATTTCTCTTCTTCCGGAACCCCTTAATATTTATGATGACAGACGCGCAAATTAAAGTAAAAGCGTAAAAAGAGGGGTTTTGTTTTATAGCGTGTTCTTACTACAGCGCTGAAGCTCGTTTGTATAATCGCGTCGTCTCCTCTCTTCTGGCAACATCTAATTTTTTAATTATTAATTTTTTTGTTCTTGTTACTTTTGACATCATTATGAGGACGAATAAATTTTTCTACAACAATGGATAAATTAATAGTTAAAGAAAACAAATTGCAAAACACTTGAATTGGAAACAACTTTCGAACAAATCTGAATTTCGAAAAACAAAAAACTTTGTGTTAAGTTCAAGTAGAGTCTTTTCAGCATGTCAAATTTTAGCTCTGTCATGACAGTGTCAACAGTAAATAATCATATTCAAACTTATTATCGAATGCTCATTTTTTATTTGTAGTGTATCTACCACTACAAAAATACAATTCCAATTCACTAGTATATAAGACATGTTAATTTAAATCTATGGTGGGGTACCTTTGCATAGATGAACGTTGACATTGCTTTTAAAACGATTCCCACATTGGTGACCCAGACGTGACGTGAACAAGCCTGCCTTGACAGAAATGCCTTTGAACACGCCTACTTCGATGGATTGTCCACATTGAACAGTTGACTTGCTACTTGTGACTGTGTCCTTATCCACCTTCTTGCGTTGTTGCTACCCAGTCTCGTCTCGATCACGAACAACGTCGCTTTGCATACACTCGAAGGCTAACGGCAACACAGGAGTGATTACGATCGTGAAGTTAATACACCTCTCACATTCAGCACTCAAATAGTACGGTGATCTTAATACAGCTCTCCCGGCTAATCACAAAACAGCAATGGATTAACTAGTGGTATCCGTTCATCGAATTCTATCACAGATAAAATTCTGGTGGGGGAGTACCGCAGTGTATCTACCACTACAAAAAATACAATTCCAATTCCCTAGTTTATAAGACATGTTAACTCGATTCTTGAATATACTTTTCATAAATGAAGGTTGACATTGTCGATAACTACTATCTCCACAATATTCATCCCTCTACGTTTTTTATACATAGTAATTTCAAGTNAGGTTAAAATGCGACTTTTTACGTGCAGAACCGTCAGTGGGTTAATACAATGTTTGTAAGCATCTGAAAATTAATTAAAATTTAAATTTTTTTACATAGCTAATGAAAATGTAACATTTAAGTAAATTATAAAATAAGTTTTAATTTTTCCCAGGAAATCTACTTGTGGACAAAGAAGAAGCTTTAAATAAAATGGGTCATGGTAAATAAAGTATTTTTGTATTGTTCTGTTTATGATGATTTCCATACTAAAAGTTATCAACTTCTTTAAGTTTAGAGTAATTAGGTTGTACACAGGGATTGGAAGTCGGAGGCAAATGTCTCAGCTCTTGAGATTGCTAAGAGCCTTGTAGTTACTTGCAAAAAGTGTCATTATTTTAAATGAAATTTTAATAAAAAAATTGCAAGGAATTAATTTTTATTTTAAAAAAAAAATTCTAACATTATACTTTTTTTTGTTTTAACATTTAATTAATAAAACATCTGTTTGTTTTTTTATTGGAAAAGGAAATATTAGTATGAATTATCCATTTATTTCTTTCAGATTCTGAATGACTTCGTAAATCAAACAGACATCGACTCAATGTTTTTTATTTTATTTATCTAGTGTAATCGATGCCAATGTTTGATGGTGTCAACGATGTCAATGACGCTAAATGAATAAAACAGCGACTCAATGTTTTATTTATTTAACGTCAGATGCGATGCCCCTTCCTTTTTATCGTCAGTGTTAATAACTGATATAATTACTGATAAAATTACTGATATAATTAATAACTGATCTTGAAAATTAACCATTTATGTAAGTTCATTTGAAATCGTTTCTCGCTTTATATATTTCGTTTTGTGTTTCGTTCTGTTTTGCCATTCTATTTTATTTTCTGTTTTTTTTTAACGTAATATTTATTACTTAATGTGTTCTTTTTTGCTTAAGAAGTTTTCTTGAGTCTTCCTCACACTATTGTATTGATATATTTTGCTTTGTCTATATTAATACCATATTAGAAGGCACTACCCCAGTGTAAATTATAATTTTTTAAACCGTTGTTATCGCCTTTTAGCATTGCACTAAGGAGAGTACTATAATTAATAGCATTTATCATTATGCTCATATTTTTTTATGACACCAATCCTTTTTTTTTCTTTTTTTTGGATCAATGGCTACGTTGCAAGTCAAAAAATTTTCGATTAACCATAGCACCAAGAAAATAATAATAATTATAATAAATAAATTAATGAAATAAAATGAAAGAAAATACATTATTAATAATAACAAATAATATATTTTCTTCCTTTTGCTATTTTAATATTTTTGTTATGATACTCTTTATAACTTTATGTTTCTGAAAATATTCATAATACATTTATATTATGAACAGTTTGCATAATAATTTTTAATTTTGATGAAAACAACACGGATGTGAAATTTGTAAGATTTTGCACGGGAAAAACATAACGCTTGGCAATTTGAATTAAATAATTCAGAATTGTTTTTCTTATTATTATAAAGAATGAATAATAGGTGAAGTCATTTTAAAATATAATTAGTTCAAATTTTGATTCCACTCAGCAATTTTCACGTTTAAATATTAGCATTAACCTATAAACATATTTGAAATTTAAATCATAAACTTCTAAATTCAATTGTCATTTTAATAATATCAGTGTTCCTTTGAATATACAAAATAGAAAAAATTTAAACAAAATAGAAATTTTTAGCTTAACAAATGTATTCAAAACTTCTTAATAAAACGATTTGTGAGTGAAAAATAAATTACGCAAAAATATAATTAGATTAAGCTTTTCATAAAATACTTTCTTTTAAAAAAAAAATAATATTTAAAGGCGTGTTTATATTACAGCCCTTTTAGAGATTCCACTCTGTGATGATGGGTGTGAGCACAGTAGAACAGTGAGTTTTATTTAACAGGTGCAATAGTCACTCCGTCAAATTACCGATAAGAAATACAATACCTTTAAATTTTATGCAGATGATCCCCTAGAAACTCGATTCTGCAACTCGAATACGTCATTCTCGTTACATTTTCTGTGATAGATTTTCTATAGATTCCGATAGATTCTCTGATGGAAAAGATATCTTCCCATTGTTTAGTTGTGAAGATGAAATTAGTTTTTTTTAAATGGTATAGTAAAATCTGCAGAATTTATTATGTAAAATTAAAAGAAAGTAACCCTATTTGTTTTCTTTTCCTAACTTTATTTTTTAAAATGAAGGAGAGGAATTGAAGATAAAATAGAAATGCTCCACAAACATTGATGATGCCAACGCAGAGAAACAAATCTTACCCTTTCTTCAGGGTTACCTTAGCATAGTTTTACAGAGACGTGCAGTAAAACACACACACGAAGAAGAACATAGCTTCAAAAAAAGCTGCAGACATTTGAAATTCGTTTTAATAAAATATATTTCGAGAAACGTATTATTTTAAAATATTCCATAATTTTGATAATTATGAAACGAGATGGTTTTAATTGAACTAATTATACTTTTCCGAAGCAAGTTTAATGATACCAATGTAACATGTCAGCTTTAATTTATAGGCCCTAGCCAAATTATTAGATGCACTATTATATTCTATGTAAAATCTTAATTATCAGGTGATACTCTATACAGCTTTTATGTCGGTTTTGCACTTGTTTAAGTTCGTGTATCAATTGTTTTTAACATTGTAATGCAATACGTTAAAAATAAATACAAATANGTTTGCACTTGCTTACGTTCGTGTATCGATTGTTTTTAACATTGTAATGCAATACGTTAAAAATAAATACAAATAGGAAGCATATCAAAAATCTCCCGAATTAAAACCCATGATATCTATGTTTAACTATAAAAGTATTGCCTATAAACGCTTGCAAATCATGTCATGATTAAAACACTACAGTGCGCTTAATAATTTGATCTCATTATTATAATATAATAATATAATACCTGATATATTAAATATTCTATATTTATATAATATATAGTCTAGTTTATCCTATCGTCGAATTTATATTATATATCTTGTCTAATTTAACCCAATGATACACGAACGTAAGCAAGTGCAAACCGCGTAAGAACTATAAAGCTGTATAGAGTATCACCTGAGTAATTAAGATTTTACATAGAATCTTACAGTGTTTCTGATAATTTAGTCAGGGACTGTAATTTAATACAACTGCTAATGTAAATCGAGATTCTGCCAAGAGACAGACGATTATTTAGGGAACCAGAAAAAACTTGGAACCACTGGTCTAAGGAATTTATTATCAAGAATTTTATAGGTATTAGCAAAATAAATAAATAATGAGGCATAAAGATCATCACACCTGTGTTCTTCATAAATAAATAAGTCCTTCTCTTCTTATTTTGATGAAGAGATGTTGACCTATCTTCTCAACCTCAGTATTTATGTCGACAAACCACCGAATGAACTTTCGTGGCTTTTTATGCGTGACCACGCATCCCTCCTGGAAATAATCCACTCTATATTCTTTCCTTCCTTTTTATTTTCTTATTTATTCATTTAGCATCATTATTGTTTTTTTTTCCAATTTTAAGACCGTATGCATCTCTTGTAAGCATTTAGCAACCCATTTAATTCGGAACGTTGAGTCTGAGTTTAATGTAGTTAAATATTTATTCGAATGAAATTAGTTATCATTCAAAAAAGTATTGAGTACATAAGGATTAATTTAAATTTATTCCAATTTAATATATATTTCAAATAAGTTTAATTTAATTTAGTTTAAAGTATCATGAAGCGAAATGATGACGACTCTCAAGCAATTCTGAAATTATTTTAAATTTCAATTATAAAACTGATCGTATCGTCACATAATTAAATAGAGATAATTTTTTTTCAAACAGTTATTTGCGTATTTCTTATTATAAAAAATTGAAGTATTTTATCATTTTTGCTTATATTTTTAACTTATAAGAAAATGAAGCCCTCCAGAGACTACATTATTTATAATAGTATTATATAAATGCATTAAAAATATGCAAAGTATTAAAAAAGTAATGATATGTAATGAAAATGTAATGATATAATTTTAGTTTTATATGGGAGTAAAAATTGTAATCATTCAATAAAAAGTAACTAAAATGATATTTTTCTTTGTTGACCCTAAGTAGGAATGGACTTTAAAAATTTTGTTTTTTACATTATTTGTTTTATAATTAAAGAGAATTTAAAAAAAACTTCAGAAGCGCAGTTAATATTACCAGTAATTCAATGAGTCCATAATTAAGGCTTTCTTTTTAAGCAAAACGATTTTGTTAACACTTTTCAGAAACACACGGTTTAACTATAAATTTATTCAATGAGTAAATGAGTCTGTTTTCTTGGGTTGTACTATTTAGATAAATTCCTGGTAAAAAAGAATTAAAATTCATAAATAAGTTCTATGAATGTAGTTATTTTTCAATCATTTAGACAAACGCTCTTCATTAAAAAAAAGTGAGGATTTTCTATAGACAAAACTCTAATTTTATTATCAGCCTAGAATGCGACATACAAAACTTAATGATCCAGCACTGAATAATAAATGTTATAAAAAAAAACCTGAATTCGCTAAAATCGTTTTCTCTTTTTCATGGGTCAATTATCCGTGAACCGTGCAGTGACCGTGACCAAATCTGTCCCGCAGTGGACTGATCGTTTAGACACGGTTCCCAGCAGATCACCGAAGTCGAGCATCACTGGTAGCCGTCAAGTGTACGGGTGGGTCACCACTTGGATTAGTTTGCTTAGGGACTGAGGGTGTGCGGTATGGGTCCTCGTTGAAATGTTCTACTGTAAAGTGCTCGACTTCGCGTGCAGATCGTCGGACAGTTGAAGCTGGGGTGCCATCCCTCTGCAGAGGATCAATATTGTGATGGCATGTCTTCAGATCATCCTCAGGGATGTTTCCTAGACCTTCGCCAATAGCCCATTATGCAGCTCTAATGCGACATTAATGAACTACAACAACAATAATTCAAAAAACAGCTTTAAGTTTTTTTGGTAGATTCTGGTTTATTTTAAAAATGACGTCTTTGTTTAATTTTTGTAAAACAATATAAAACTGTATAATGAATGGATTTTATATTTTTAATTTCAGTGTTTACATAAAGAAACCGAGCTATGGTAACGACAAAGGCAGTTCTTATGGCGGAGGTGGTAACGACAAGGGTTCACCATACGAGGGTGGAAACAATAAAGGCTCACCCTATGGGGGAGGAGGAGGTGACTGGCAAGGTGGATATGGAGGTGGTGGTGGAGGTGGCGATTACCAAGGATGGGAGTCCACCTATGGGAGAGCCCAACAAGCCAGTGCTGCTGGATACAGTCAAGATCAACAGGAGGATCAAGGTGGCCACGGCCAAGATGGCCAACACGGTGGCTACGGCCAAGGTGGCCAACAAGGTGGTTACAGCCTAGGTGGCTTCAGCCAAGATGGCCAACAAAGTGGCTACAGCCTAGGTGGCTTCAGCCAAGATGGCCAACAAGGTGGCTACAGCCTAGGTGGCCAACGAGGTGGTTACAGTCAAGATGGCCAACAAAGTGGCTACAGCCTAGGTGGCCAACAAGGTGGTTATAGCCAAGGTGGCCAACAAGGTGGCTACAGCCAAGGTGGTCAACAAGGTAGTTACGGTCAGCAAGGAGAATATGGACAAAGCGACGGAGGTTACAGCTACGGTAAAAATGAGGGTGATGAGTCAGAGGGTGGTTACGGAGCCGAATCTCAGCAATCTCCATCAGCCTCGTCGTACAGCCAGCAGTCTTCCGGTTACAATAATGGCTATAGTGGTAATGGCGGAAACATTGCTTGGCCAAGCAGCTATAGTGCATCCTCTACCAGTCACGTGAATTGGCCGAGCACGTCTACTGGTAAAGTAAGCGGTAGTACCAACAGTGACGCCAACAGAGGTATTGGATGGGTATAAGAGTAAAGAAGAATTTTTCATTTTATTTTGTGTGTCATAAACTTTGAACAAATGCGAACTAAAATAATATTGCAGGTTTTCCATGATAATTAGTATGAGGAAATGTCGCAAGAGGCCTGTCTAACAAACTCAATACGGAAGAAAACATGTGTGCTATTTTTTGCACCCTTTTTTTTTATTCCCTGTCTTTTGTGAATATCAGCAATTTTTTAAGACCAAAACAGAAATCAAAAATTTTACTAAAACCCATGTTCGTGGAGCTCTTGATGAATTACAGACACATTTAATTTTTGAACTTTCCCAAGTAAATTTTAAAAGACACAGATAACGGTTATTTTTCAATGAATGAATCCACCTGAAGGGAATGTCAAAATGGTATACATTTTGCTATTATTGTAGAAGAAAAAATATTGTAAATATACATTTTACAGGTCTTTAAAAGAACAACAAAAATAGTTAATTTCTACAGGGCTCCAAATTTCAAATGTTACTTTTATTCCTCCTTCCAGTATATTATTTCAAATTCTACTGTGAAATGTTTAGCAACTCTAGCATTTGTTAATTAAAAGAAAAACTTCTTAATTAATGAAAAAAAAGGAAAATAATTCAGGGATGAAGAATGAGAGATCCACCCTAGTCACATTAAATTAACATTCCTTTTCGAACATTCGAACTAACTGCAACAATATCTAATTGGAAAGACTATTGAGAGATATTTTCAAATCACATCAATTTAGCTTTTATTTAACAAACTATACTGATTCGATTTTCAAAAACTCTTTGTTAAAAAAAGGTCTTTTCAATCGAAAAATTAAAAAAAATAATTGGAGCTTTGATACCGTGATTTCTAATTAATTGCATTATTTTTTTTTCTTCAAAAATTGAGTTCAGATGAAAAAGAAATTAAAGGACTTGAAAAAGTATTTACCAAGAGCAATCATGAGAAATAAAGGATAAAATTGGTAACTGTCCCTCATTTTGTATATCAAAGATAATCTATTTTGCACTTCGTTCACTAAAAGAGCTTATTGATGGCATGAAAAATTTCTGCCTGAAAAATCGACCTTACTTATTTTAGACAAGCGAATGAAATGCATTTTCTTTTTTGAAATATTAATGTTATTTCTTCAAATATATTAAGAGAGAATCGTTATTCACTTAACATGTCATTAGTGTAGTGTGTTATGTTATTTTCATGTTGCCAGGTGCAATATTCATTTATTTTATGTTAATGTTCAACCTTATCAACTAAACAAAAAAATATTATTGAATGAAAAACACTTTAGAGCGCGTTGTTTGAAACTTTGAGAATAACCCTAGTGTAATGGAACACTATAAATTTAATCTTAGGGAAAAAAAGGGGGAATCTGTAAATGAGGCTTCTCTTAAGTGAATTTGAGCAGCTTTGAATTTAGCATAATTGGACATCTTTTAAGTAAATAAACTGTTCAACCAAAACAATTTAATAAATTATTCGTGGATATAAATAGAACACATACGATAATGTGCCTCAGTCGTTTAAGCGTCTGTTTCTGAAATAAGGAATGAATACATTTCACTGTATACTCAAGCTATGACTATTTCCCCAAGCAACTAAACAACTTAGGCTCATTATCTATTTTTTTTTTAAATTTTATTTATTGACTTTATCACTTTTGGCACGATGATAAAAGAACATCATTTTGCTTATTTACACAAAAGAGTCAATAAAATAAACTTTTGAAGAAATAAAAAAGTTCTGAAACTCATTTTATTTTATTTGTAATAAGTAATTTTGATTTAAAAAAAAACTAGCTTTGAGCTCATTTGGGCTTGTACAATTAATGTTCTACTATAGAAAAGAAAATTCGCTATTTCTGAAATCCCGTTTTGACATGGGTTGGAGTACATACACACAAAATGCTTGTTTTTATCCTCGTCTGCTGAGCAGGTTATTTAAAATAAATCTTCTATTTATGTGTGATGTCTGATGATTATTCTGTTATTAGTTTGAATTGTACATTTTTTTAAACATTTATTTATGCCAACTATGGATGTATTCTGTATTTCTGCAAAATAAAAAATATTGAAAAACAAGTTTCAATTTTTTTTTCTTTTTTGGAAGAAATGAAATGGTCTGATGTGTATGATAATGGAGCTCTTTTATGGGTTAGAATTAAACATTACTATTTTTTTTTTCTCCCTTACGTTAAACTAGATTTCTTATGTGGCCCCATAAAATGTCGTAAAAGGAAAGAGAGCCGAAAAATAAATTAAAGATGAATTATAACTTTAAATAAAGTAAGTTATAATTTAACTATAAGAATGACAAACACATTACATTGCTTATAATTATTAAACGTGGATAATTCATTTTTAATTTATATGCGATTAATTTGTAGAAAACTTTGAAATTAATACTACCTCAATCAGATGAACAACGGGAACAACTTTTAACTTTAATTTTTAACTAAAACAGATAAATGTCGGAATAGTTATCGAGTTATTTTCTGTAGTAAGAAAGGATTGTTTTTTAAAAGAATCAAAAACTATTTATTCATAAAATTATTTCGAAAATGATACCATTATAACAAAAAGAATAATAGTATCTCTCTTTAGGTAATGAAATAATTATGAAAGTCCAGCCAATTTTGGGTTAACGAGGTTATTTTCTCAGTTTACGTTCTAAAATTTAAAGAAAAAACTGAAAAAGTAATGAATTTAGGCTTAAAAAATTGAAGGGAAAAATCGATATTTAGAAATATAGCTGTTATATATTGGCTTATTTATATAGAATACACATAGACCTATTTGTGTGTATATATATANCTATAGTGAATCTTCAAGAGACCGAAATTTCGGTTCACTATAACCGGGGTTTCATTATATCCGTAGTGCAAACAATTTTACCTAATTTTTCTGAACTGCTCCCTTTTATTACATGATTACATATAATTTAAATAAATGACGACATTCAACTCAATAGATGATTTTAAAAATCGGTATATGCACTTTAAGTAGAAATTTCAAAATTAATGAAAAAAGGAAGGGAAAAAAAAATTAGGCGAAGACAGAAGAAAGTTCATAATATCAAATTTCCTCTTTGTTTTTGGTTCACTATATCCACAAAAAATAATATTATACGTGTATAGTAAGGCACGGGAGTGAACATTTCGTGTACTATATGCGAGAGTTCACTATAAATCATGTTCACTATAGCGGGGTTTGACTGTATCATCATTCATAAAAGTTATCAAAAAATTTCTGTGTGCAATATACACTATCTGAACAATATGCATCGCTCAATAAGAAAAAGATATCATCCTAAATAACTTTCGTTCTAATCATCGAATTTCACTTATTAAGTGTGAAAATTAATGGTTGCTGGGGGGGGACCTCAAATATGCTAATTATTTAGAGCAGACGATATTTTAAGTCACGAAATCTGACGCAAAAGTGGTCTTTCTCTGAATAAACATACCATCTTTTTTGACGGATTCGTATTTTTGATCTCCAATATATAGGGTAGCCGCAGTTTGGTTAGGAGATTTATCCAAAGTTTTCACCCCAAATATTAATTTTACTTTTGCGTATTTCGCCGTATCTCGAGAAATTTTAAAGCGATTTGAAAAATTTGTGCATTGCAATTATAAAATTCGTTTATCCAAAACTAATTCTATGCAAAAAATAGCTTTCAATAAATACTTATTATTTTTTATTTAATAATAGTCGAAAAAATTTTGAATAGTAATATACACAATTTTTCGCAACATTTTAAAGTATGTCATTTGACAAGGCAAAACACAAAACTTGAACAAAATCGATCAGATAGCCTCTGAGAAATCAAACTTTAGATATCTGAACCTTTCGAAATTCAATTTCTCAGAAACTATTCAACTAAATTCGCTCACATTTTGTATTTCGTCACATTTGTATTCGTATTTAGTTACATTCTTTAAAATTACACAAAAGAAAAATCGCATACCTAGGCATTAAAATTTTTTTCGACCTTTATTAAATAAAATAATAAATATTTATTAAATATATTACCCTCCATATTTTGAGGGTCAGAAATTTGAATCCCTTTTAAAGAAAGTGTGTTTATTCAGAGAAAGTACCTTTTTATGTCTGTTTTCGTAACTTAAAATATCATCTGCGCTTATTAATTAGCATATTTGAAGTCTCCTCCTTAAGATTGGGTCCAAGAATGTGAAGATCCAGATATGAGGTTAATAATTATTCAGGGTGGTATTCAATAAGTATTCAATTTATTTAATTTACAAAATTTGAGAGCGATAAATTTTTGAATGTTAATGAAAAAAACTTTTTTTTTCTAACAACTTTTTCTTAGGTTTTATAGTTTAGTACAAATGAAATTCCGAAAGCGTTAGAAAAAAAATATTTATGCGAGACCAGAATTTTGAAAGTGATTAAAAAACTTAATTAAAAATTTATTTAAAAAATTTCAACTTTACATAATCTAGAGGGAATAAAATAAATTAGTGCCAAAATATTACGCGATCTATCCTCAGATTCCGTAGACTTAAAAAGGCCTGAAAAGCACTCAGATGAAAAAAAAACCCGATTAAAATGCGATTATATTAATTTATATGCTTGTTTCTTAAATCTCACTTTGATATTAGGTTGCAATAAAACAGCAATAATTGCCTTAGTGGGTTAAGGGATAGAGCGTTCGCCTTCCTATGAGGTGAACGAGTTCGAATTCCGCGCAAGTCTCGCACTGACCACAGTGCTGACGTGGAATAACTTCAGTGGTTGACGGATCACGAGTTAGAGTCCCCTTGCCTCCAGGGCAACCGTGGGAGTTTTTCGTGGTCTACCTCTCCATGTAACGCAAATGCGGGTTAGTTCCATCAAGAAATCCTCCACGATTGCAAATATTCCCCAATACTTGAACCAGGAGTTCCCTTGTCTTCTGGATTGGGTTCAAAATTACAAGGCTATGGAGTTGAACATTAGTAGTCATAAACCCAAATATGGGTAGCCGTGAGCTTAAGCTTCGGTTGTTCAACGTTGGTTATAAAATAAAATTAAAAAAAAAGTTGTTTCTAGCCAAAGAGATTATTTAGTATAGCGCGGAAAGTTACTTCCTACAATTTTGTATTCAATTGGGTATTCAATTAGGTATATCAATTTTGTATTCAATTTTGTATTCAATTATCCTATATCAAATGTTGACCGGACCCAGTTTCACACTAAGCATGTGAGAAAAATAAATATATCTTATTCACTGATTAATAATTCATAAATTTAGATAATGATTTAAATATTTTTTATTATCATTAAGTGTCGCTTTTGAAGGTAATGGTATAGAATTACTTTATAATAAAAAAGCGCCACTTTCAGTCTGAAGCCTCTGCATATAAAATAATATAATAATCAATTAAAAAATAAACGTAACAATATGCAGAGAATACTAAGAAAGGGTGATTAATAAATATTGCTGGCAAGTGCTTTTTAATTAGGCATAAAGTAGTATTTTACTGGTTAGCAAAAATATCTTTATAACTTTTAGAATTTTAGGCGGATGGCAACTGAAGAGATCTTTATATGAGAAAAATGGTAATAGAAAACTTTTTTTTTTAAAAAAAACAATGCGTTTTTTAGATTGAATAGAGAAATATTGGATCCAAGTTCGAAATATTATCATTCATTTTTGCAAATCTCGATATTTACAGCGAAGTATAATTTGAAATCTAATTTTATTTTAATTCCGTCGTTGAACAGCCGACCCAATTTTGGGTTCGACTACTATTGTTCTACTCCGTTTCTTCGTAATTTTGAACCAATCCAGAAGACAAGGAAACTCCTGGATCAGTACCCGCAGGGATATGATTTATTATGGAAGCATGGAGGACTTCGTGACTCGACAGATTTAACGTGCATCAGTCACCATTTACAACACGGGGAGTCTTCGGCCGGCCTGGGAACGAGCCTACGAACTCTGGGACATGAGCCCAGTGTCCTACCAACCAGGCTATCCCAACCCTAATTTGATATCTTCATTAAAATTTCGACAGACCCGGTTGGCAGGTCGCTGGACTCACGTTCGTGAGAATGAGAGTACGAATCCAGCCGGCCAATAACTCCCAGTGTAATAAATGGTGACTGGAGCACGTTAAATTTTTCTGGTCACAAAGTCCTCCATGTTCCCATAACACATTATACCTCTGGGGGTACTGAATTGGCGATGGATCAAATCAAAATGACGATCAGGTCAAAATGACGATCCGCGAATGAATGAATAGATGTATGAATGGGCCCGCCCTTTAAAACGGGTGTGACGTATGAGTGTGGCAGAAATCGCATTTTTGGTTATAGATTGCGCCACTTTAGAACACGAACAACAGCACCCTCTCTGACTTAATGGCAGACGACAACAGCAACAATAGAATGTTGACGGTGCTTAAAGGAGAAACTGTTAGTCAAAAAATAATTTGTCTTAATAACTGCGGGGGGATTTTATTATTTATGCTGCCGAACCAAAGAAAATCAATTTTTTTACATGCTATGAAAAAATAAGCAAGCTTCAGAGGGA